ATTATATAAAGATTAAAATTAATTTTACCTTGAATATTTCCACATACTGATTTACATTTTTCAACACTAATTTAATCATTTTTTCAATAGTTCGAAAACGTTTTTCTTCATAAATGAACTTTTGGTCAACTGTCTAAATATTTATATTTACAAAAATAAAAACTTTATATTTACCATATTTATATTTAATTATATTTCACACAAAGTAATAATTTTATAATTCACCTAAAGTAACAATTTATATTGTATTAACTGTTAAAACACTATTAACTTATTTTAACAAAAAAGTTTAAACACTTTAAAATCTTGTGAAAATAATATATCATTAACATGACATAAATCGCTTATTTTTTCACTTTGCCCTTTCAAAGAACACTTGTTTATCTCTTCATTGCTCCTTACTCTAACACTTCTATTAGAACACGACATTTTTAAAAAATCAAAAATTACATGTGAATTTAATCCTGTAAATTGTGTAATTCTTTGATTTATACGAGATGACTTCTTTGCAACTGAATGCCAATTCAACTTTTGGACTTTCTTACTGATTCCGGGGACTGTCTCACGATACTTTAAAACTAAAAAAATCATAAAACACTTTGTTATAATATCCCAAATAGAAAAAACCCATTCTGGAATAACAATGTATTGAAATAGTGTGTTTAAAATGTAATTGAAATCAATCAAACTGAGGTTTATAAGTTTATTTAAAGAACCAATATTTTAATTTTTTTTTAATTCTTTAGAAATAAAATAATAAAAAAAATCCAAATGCTTTGGAAAAAAAAATAATCAAAAAAAATTCAAGTGCATATACTTCAATAATATTATATATATAATATATTTCTAGATATAGTATATATTTCTATACTTAATACTGAGAATGGGATTCACTAATCTTTATTTTTAATATTTCAGAATATAATCTGAATAATAGTTATAATAAAGATAATTGATTAAACATTTTAGAATAATTATTTAAAAATAAACCTAATTATTAATAATAAACCTAAACCTTTCGACCTTTTAAATTATTAATAATGGAAACTAAATCCTTTTTTTTTAAATTATTAATAACCAAACCTAAATCCTTGCGTCTTTTAAATTCATTTATAGCAGTAGCAACATCATTCATTGTGTTCAATGCTAATTTTAGGTCACAGTTTGATTCGCTATCAAGAGAATTCTAAGAAAATACAAATTGTGTGAATGCGCTGTAAATACATCTTGATTAAGTTATTTCTATACATTTCAAAATTACCTTTAACAATTCATTTAGTAATAATGGGTATTTTAATACTCTCTGCACTGGCTTAATAAGCATGGATGATAGACTAATTGACCCAAAATTATTACTAAAAAATATATTTGACAATGTTTAAAATTATATTTAATACCTTTTTAATGGTACAATTAGACTAAACATTAAAAAAAAATTTTAAAGTACATAATATATAAAATATAAAACAAAAATTTAAAGTATGTAAAATATATTTAAAATAAAAATTGGATGACAAGAGTTGAAAATAAATGAAACCTTATGTCTAAAAATTAATGCTTTCATACCCCTCCAATAAAAACGCTTTAGAAATTTTTTGCTGGATATCGGGTTCTTCTTCAAACTATTAGAATAATAAAAAAGATGAATAAAATAATGTTACATTCAATAATTTAAGAACATTTCTTTTGTCAGACCAAAGACTTAACTATTCAAAAAAAAAAAAACTTTATAATATAATTATTTTTATCAAATTTTAGATTTTAGTAATAATATAGAAAAAATGTTGACAAATGTTAACATAAAAAACTTAATCTTATTGACATTAAATAAATTAAGGTTTATAAAATAACATAAACAATATACATAACAAATATTAAAATGACAGATCTTATGGAATCAGCATTTATAAATAAAACAAAGTTATTAACATTGATGGAGAAAAAAACACTTTCAACCAACTGTTAATGAATGAAACAAAGATTTTAAACTTGTAAAGAAACAGATATGCATAATAAGTGAAATTTTTAATTTTTGTACAACTGATAAATTTTTTTTGATATGTATTTTTTTTATAATAAGTATATAAATTTTTATAATTTTTTAACGTGTCTCAAAAATCATTACATTTAATATCTTGAATTTAAGATTTAATATCTTGAATATTTTTCATCATTTTGAATCTTAAATATTTTTCATCATTTTGACTGATAACACATCTAGCATTAACGATGTCTACATATAACCAAAATTTTTTTTTTTTGTCATTCACTAAAACTCATCTTTTCATCACAATAACTTTATATTTTTATAATTGATCAAAATTCACAACTTCAAACAAAAAGTAATCTTGTCATCAAATAGTATAGATGTGTTTCAAATTCCACAACAGTTTGCAGAACAACAGTTTCCTGTTTAAAGTTGGATTTGAAATCTAGATGCTATCAATGTTGTTTAAAGCCAAAAAAAAACAACCTAAAAATTTCAGAATAAATAATAATAAATATCTGAAATATAAAATATCTTTTTTTTTTAAATTCACCTCTTCAAAGCTGAAAAGGTCACTACAGTTGAGCTACTTTTGTGGTTACAACCCTCTCTCAACTCTATAACTTTATTTTTATATAAAATTTATCAAAATTAAGTTATTACTTATGGTAGATCTGTACTTTTTCTAAATACAACCTCATTGATTTGCAATTGCATACACTTTTTATGCCAAATGATTTGTTTGAATTCATTTGAGTTGACAGTGTTACTGTCTTAAAGTTTCTACACTTAGTAGTGGTAATCAAGCTCTTATCTTTGCCTTGAATGACAAAGAAAAACAAATTAACACTGTGGTGTTGATGTAATTGGTTCTAATTGTAGTTTTATAAGTGCTGGAATAGCAACTTCATTTTGTGTCATACTCATATATTTGCTTGCAGTTACAGTTTGTTCTAGTTCATTAATTTCACTAAAAAAAAACTAAAATTGCTGACATTCATTAAAAAATAAATTGCAATAAGATGTCCGTTAAGTGCAAATATTTATTTCTTTTGTATTATCATCAGATTGAAGCGAATGATAATTCCTCAAAACTGTTATTAAAATCTTTACATTCATTATCTTTGAAAACTTTTTCTGTCAATTGCTTTGTAGAAAACAAAATTAGTGTCACTTACCAAATTACTGTTTTAATGAACTTTTATAAATTTTAGAGGAAAAGAAAGAAGTTTTAAATCACTATTACACCTCTGTATGAAATAGATTTTCAATCATTAGGTCAAGCACACATAGGCATACAAAAAATATAAAATAAAATAAATTAGACATTAGTACAGTTGTTTTAGGTACATATGTTGCAAGAAATTTAATTGAGCAAAAGTCTGATTAATTTTATAGATTTTTATTAGTGAAAGACAAGCTGATGGTTGGCTCCCTATTTGTTTTGACATAATGGAACTATTATGAGCGTATATCTATTATAAAATGTAAAAAAACTATTTTCTTGTGAGAAGTCATTACCTCACCCAAGTGTTGGAGGGTTATTTCCAATATTTTGTGGATAGAGAAGGTGTTTAGGGAATATACATTGCAATGTAGGTTGATGATAATGTCTCATATTAAAATCATCAATTTTTTGATATTTTTATTTGCATTAGTTGCAAAAACAACATTAGTGAGTGTGAAAATGGTAAACATCTAAATAAATGCTAACTCCATATCAATATTTTGAAAAATTGATTATCATTTGTATAGCTTCATTTTTAATCGCATAATATGTGACTAAATTATGTATTTTACACAATTTACTTATGTTTTTACTGTATTTTTAAAACGTAATTATAATCTAGAGATGGTGTCTTGATAAAAATACTCATCTAGGGCAGATGTTAAATGCATCCAGCCACTGTCTTGTAGAAGGCCTTCTAGGCAAAATCTTAGGAGGTAAACATAATATATCTGCTGGCCAGCTTTTCACTTCTTCTACATCTATTTGGCTGGGATAGATGTATTTATATTATGGTGTTTCCAATTTAAGATGTTGAATGCTGGATTTTCTTGACCCAATTCATGGGATTTGCTTGTGTCTCTGTTTTTATGACTAGGCAACTCATTTTTCTTCTAATGCAGATACAGCTCTAAAACTTAGTTTTATAGTTCTGAGACCAACTGGTAGTTGGGTTTCCCAAACTCTGTGGTAGCGCTTAGAGAGGTCAATTCCATCAACAGTTGTAAAGTATCAGAGTACTAACAGTGCCATGTTGTGCATGGGTGGTGTCCTGGTTTGTACTTTTGGTGTGCATTGTTGAGGCCACATTTTTAGGGGCTTTTTGTTACAGCTTAAGGTTTATTAATAAGTAATTGTTGGACTATTAGATAGTGTACTGAGTACTATTTGTGCCTTAAAACACAAAAACCATCTTTAACACCAATTTCCTGATCTTTCTTGGAAACCATATATCAAATCCAATATTCAATTAAGTCTCATCCTTTTACTGTCACTATTCCTAAGTGCTTAAAAAATACTTTTTCATTTAGGTTTTTTCCTGGAACATCAGTTCTTTGGAAATCACTCCTTGCTTTCATTAAGTCTAATTTCATTATGCTTAATAAAAGTAAAGTCATTTAACTTTAAAAAACTCAGGATTAGCAATTACAAAGTTTTCAAATTTTTCAGAAAAAATTAAGAATAATTAAAATTTTTCAAATTTTTTACTTTTTTTTTTTTACTCTGGTCATTTGGTGTTAATTTTCATTTGTTAAAGCCAAAAGTTTTACCTTGAAAAAAAAAAAAAAAGTCGAACCTTTTCCAACAAATTTTGAACATCATCATAGTTATGACAATATGTTGCGTAACATTCTTTCATTTCCATTGATAAAGCCAGAAAGCAAGCGGCTGCAAAAAATTCAAATAAAATACTTCAATATTATGAAAAAGCTTGATAAAAAGTTTAAAAAAGACAGAAAGAAAAAATTCCAAATAGGACTTGCGGGGTCATATTCCATTTTCACC